ATTTCAGAATCTGGAGAAGAAATGAGTTATTGAAGAAAAGAAATTGTTTAAACACAATAGATGCATGCCCAAATTAAAGCATTCCCTGGGGCAAGGCAAGCAGGATTTGGCCCGAGAGCATGAAAATAGAAGTATCCATTAAGCGAAAGCCTTGGAGAAATGTGGATATATAATATACACCGTATAAACAAAAGCCCAGGATTGATTTCGTCCCCGTTTTCTTCTGCCTGCATCTACTATTTTTGTTTTTCTTTTGCCTACGCTGCAATTCCAACACATTTGTCTCCTCAAAAAGCCACGGTGGAAAAAGTCAAAGTAACGAACTTTTTTTTTTTTGCGTGTGTCCTCTTTTAAAATCTTTTTTTTTTTTTTTTTTTGCATAGTAAGACACCACTCGAACATGTTCTGGTGTTGTAAAAGTGTTTTTTATCAGGCTGTAAATTACTGCCCCTCTGACAGAACAGCCGGAAATGTAAATCACACCGTCGAGCTAAAGTTATGAAAAAGTTTGTTCCCTTTTCTGCGTCCCAGGAAGATCACGGGGCTGCTGGCTGGGGAAGGGAGGGGGAAGGCTTGTTTACTATTTTCCTGCTCCACCAAACTGTTGGCTCCACGGTGCCTGGGACTTTGATGAGAAAGAATGGACAATGTGCAGAGTCCCTTCCTATGACACCCAGGCCACCGCCACTTGGGAGGTCCTTTGGCCTAATGCAACCACAGCTAACTGCTCCCAACAGGAGGCTCTGTGGATCAGGCAGGGTCACAATTATACTTCTGCTAAAGGCAAGAGGGTTTGTTTTTTTTTTTTTTTAAGAAAAAAAAAAGGGGGGGGGAGAGAAAAGAGAGCGAGAGGGGAGGGGGCTGGGCGAGCGGTTGAGTTAAAGCCTTTCAAATCCTCTGGGGAAGGAAAGAAGGAGAGCGGGGTTAGCAGGAACCCCTTCCAAGAGGCATGACCAAAATCAGGTTGTTTCCACCCAGAGGACAGTGACGGGGGATGCGGTGCGGGGCGCTCGGAGCGGGGGTCACCCCGAGCCCGGGGATGTCACGCCAAATCACTCGTGGGGAGCAGCAGCCT